GTGTAACGTGTAACTGTGACTACTAAAGTGTAGCTAAAAATTGAGAGCTACTGTACATACATGGTGTCCACTCATTCCTATAATCTTTGTTATATTACATTAAGTAACTTCCAATAGTTTTGGTGTAAACTTATCATTTTGTTTAAATTATTCACTTTAACACTACATTTGTAGAGTATTTAATACCTGCAAATTTAGGTCAATTAAGCAATGGTGGGATGTAAGATGTCGTACTTGCCATTAGATGAATCTGACTTGCTTATTTGGATTCCCTTAGCAAAAGGTGAAGCTGTCTTCCCACTGATCCCTCCACTTACATCTAACTTTCTAAATTCAATCAGTTTTATTGTTCCATTATTTTGTATGTGGAAAATGACTGTCCTTGTCTATTCCAATTAGTTTTTTTAACATTGTCATCATGTCCACCCTGATCCTCTTCTCTGGTATTAAGATGAACTCTTAACCTGTTTTGAGAACTTTACTTTTATGCAGAATCGGGCATCAGCCTTATTGCAAAGTTCTCAGCTTCCACAATCTTCTTGTGCTTCACAAAACGAGGCATCCATGTCAGCGCTGTGCATGCAAAAACCCGCATGAAATAGGCCATATATTATTTTGAAGGAGTGACTGAAGTTTTTAAAAGCTGTTCATATGTTTAAGTTTCTTGTATGTTATTTTGTTTCCCATTTTATTGCTGATATAGCTACAGCTAAAATTATCTGCTTGTTGTAGGTGTCTTCTTCCAATATTTATTACCTTGCACTTTTTTAAACCAATTTCTAGCAACCACTTGCCTGCCCACTCATGTAGCTTATTGTTACATTGGAATTTAGGCTTGAGGCAAAGTACCAAAACCAGGTTAGTCAATCAGTGCCATGTGTTGTTGATGCATGCATGTTTGTGTCCATGTTTATTGTAATTTACTGCGTCTCAAGAAAGCTCCAAGAAAGGTAGTACATCAAGTCCTTATGAAAAAGAAAACACCAAACCTAAAAAATTATATAGCTGTCTGTCACAAAATATCCAAAAGTCCCAAGATTCAATTCAGGATGCCAATTCAAGAGCAAAGGCATAAAATGAAGGAATCAGGTTCAAAGTAAGCATATTGAGGTACATATGAACTGAAGAACAGTAGGAAGTAAAATTTCTGATCCTGAAAACCAGGACATTATTCTAGAAGGTACACCACTGTTAGTGGAACAATGCAATTCTGACAGCAAGGTGAAAGCCTTTGTTCCATTAAGTGCCCAATCTTGTATGGCCACTATATGACTTAACCAGAGATATTTCCCACTTCTTGTTTCAGTGGCAGAAGAAAGTTAATGGGGGTAGGTCACCATTGATAATAAGTAATTTGCTATACATAATAGCTATTTATCTATCCAATAGTTTTGAATTATAATATAAATGTAGAAACCAGAGTAAGGAATTTGCTTCTGGGCAATGAAACAAGCACAAGCTTGTGCACACAAACACAGATGGATGCCTCTTTTAGTGATGGCATACACAAAATCATTAGAGGCAACACCAGTGTGGCTGAGAACCCAGCAGAATGACTGTCTTAACTCAGCCCAAGGTGGGGTACAGTAGTCAGTAATAAATCTCAATCACTTCAGCATGAGAAGGGTTAAAGGCTTCCAGGACCATGAGAGTACAGGCAGGAAGTGTTAACTGCAGGAATAATCATTAGCTCGTGAGAGTGTCTGTCTTAGAGCAAACAAAATCAAATGATACTCAGCAGTGTAAATATTCCAGGGTAAGACAGCCCAAGGGTTTGACCAAGAAAACAAAAAAATAACAGACTCTTGACTTATGTGAATAACCAAAAATATTTGTTTTGAGGATTTTTGGTGGCCTGGGAATGCATCTCCCACTTATAGTATTGTGCCTATGGAAAATCTTGATCCATGTTCCAAACAATTGCTTTACAAACAGTTTCAGAACATAACTCGTTCGCAATTGGGGAACTGCCTGTACATTTTGATGATTGCATTACCCAAAGAGCACCACTTTGAGATAATTCTACGACTTTCATCCTCTGTTTACTGGTAGACAGTAAACAGAGAATGACGGACCTTATGCAGTTTAGTATCTTCCCAGTTATCTCTGGCCAAATTGTTTTTTTATGACAGAACTGTCCTAGAACTCAAGTCATGTTTTTGGACATAGCTTGGTCTCCTCTTCTAAATCTGAGCTTCCTGACAATTGTGCAGTGTGATGTCTCGGAACATTTTCTTCAGAATTTGGCAGGGAATGCAATCTAGTCCATACTGCCTTTCTTTCTGGAAATATTTGTTAAGTCTGCCCTCATTCAGTGAGAGTTATGTCCTTGTAAACCTTGGTACCAGTACTAAACAAATGTAACTTTGTATGGATAGCAAAGGGTTACATTATCTCCCCATCCTGCATAATGTGCCTCCATGAGTGCTTCTCTGCTGTATTTAAATTTTTTATTAACTACTTATCAGCACTCTTGTGAACTTTCAGTACCCAATGTAGTTCCCAGTAATTCAATGAATTGATATTAGAATCTCTACCTTAGCTCCTCTTACCAACCTTGCTGTGACTCGAGCAGTTTTCATGGCTGTTGCCATACCCATGGAATGTCACTCGTATACACATCAATTTGTCAACAGTTTGTCAAGTAATATTTCCAGCATAAGTGTTTCTTTCAATACTATTTATCTTTTATTGCTCATTGTATTACCACTGATTTTCTTGGCTATTTCTAACAACCTGCTGAAATATTTCTTGTTACACTTATTCAAATAAGACTAACAAATGTTTAGAACTGTGTTTAGAGATGGCTGAGAAAGTGTTATAAACATTGAAATACCCTTTACTGATAAGCCATCAGTAGCTCCATGGTGTTAATACACCGGTTCTGCTAAGCCTAAGGATTTTATCAGGCCTCCAAGATCCATACTGAACTGCACGATCAAAATCTGGGTCTACACGAGGTGAGGAATCAGAGATCTAACCAAAACTGAGAAAAACAGACCAGAAAACTCAAAGATGGCAAAACAAACTACTGCTAGAAAAAATCAAAGGTGAAAACAAGGTAAACAAGTCTTTCCAAAATTAAACTAGACCACTCACCAGTCATGACCAAGTGGTGTCCCAGAGGACAGAGGATTCTGGCCCATAATACGGAACTCTAGGGATCTGCATGAGGAGGTTAGGGGGAAACCAAGATGGGGATCAGGAGCTACTGAGGGATTACCAGACAAACTTGTTTCATTACATACAACACGATTTCTAGGATGACCCCTGTCCCACCTTTAGTGGTTTTCTAGTGCTTACTTGCAGCAGGCGGTACAGGAGAAATGCTTTGCTAGAAAGTTACGGAACCTGATTATCTGGTAAGTACTCATGCAGGGAACAGAATGGCATAAGAGCAGAACTCAAGTTGAACTCTGGATAGAAAAGCATCAACAATGTGCCAGAAACTCGAGCACGGTGAGGCCACATAACGTCCAGTAAGGAATAAGAGTGAAACATCCTACCAGACAGCCAAAAACAAACAAAAGAGTCTGGACAACAACCATGTGCAAAGAAGCAAGGAATGCTGCCAAAGTATTGGACTGCCCATATCACGGAAAATCTGGAAAGGCAGTTCGAATGCCGAACTGAACAAACCACTAAAAGCCTGGGAAGAGCAGGCCATGCATTCAGCTTTAAGGTCTGGAACACCCTGCTGGGAAAGCACAGGGCATGCAGTTCAAAAAACATAATGCAAACTGCCAACATGGTATGGAACTGAAATAGGTGAGAACAGACAGCCAGAAAGAATGCTAAACACTAAACAGAAACAAAAAATCAAAGCAGAGGCAGAGAGGCCAGCCTCCACAGACCAGAGACCTGGAGTCCACTAATGCTGAGGAACAATGACAGGCAAAAAAAAAAAAAAAAAAAAAAAAAAAAAAAAAAACCGCACAACTACTCTAGAAGCACATTGGAAAACTCCGAGAGTCCAGAGCTCACATTACCGAGTCAGGGCACAAAGGCCAAAGCAATACAGAATCTAGGGCCCCAGAAACCAGGACCTAGAGGGCTGGCAGCATACAAAACCCCAGGTCCAAGGCAAAGAGACTAGCTCCAGTAATGCCAAAGAGCCATCCCAAGGTACACAGCTTGGGTGTCCAGTGGTTTGTTTAGTTTCATCGGATTTTCTGGTTGGTTTTCTTCAGTAATGGTTAGTTCCAGAAGATCTGCTCACCTAGTCAAGTCAAATTCTGGATCAAGGTACACCAGTGTGGGTTTGATGTATGAAATGATCCTGAAACTAAGGGAAACCAGCATGTAAGTACTGGGGTGGCCTACCCTGAAATCTATTTCGGTTTAACATAAAATCCCTCACAATACTTTATACGTTAACCAAACCACACACTATAAGGTGAAGGGACGACGACGTTTCGGTCCGTCCTGAACCATTCTCAAGTCGATTGTGAGAATGGTCAATCGACTTGAGAATGGTCTAGGGTGGACTGAAACGTCGTCGTCCCTTCACCTTCTAGTGTTTGTTCTGGTCAACATACTTTAGCCACGTTATTGTGACTCATCGCCTGCAATACTTTATACTTTTGACTCTGGTCATATGTCACATATTGATATTTAACAATACCTTAGTACCAGTACCAGTTTAACAATACCTCAGGAGGCCTGGTCGAGGACTGTGCCGCAGGGACGCTAAGCCCCGAAATCATCACAAAATATGTTTCTTACTAACATATGTTATTAAACTATCTGAGGGTCAACAGTACAGTACTATAAATTTAAAAATATATTTTGATCAAGGAGAACTATTTTGTTCATCTGAATCTGAACTATTCTGGCCCCTCAGCTGTCGCTAAATTGTCATAATCCAATCTTATTATACTTATACTGTGGCTTCTACAACAAAGTTTCACTTTCAAACCATGATGACAGATATTGTTTTATGACAAAGGATGCTTATTTAATAGAGAATAGCACAGGTCTTGTTAATAAATCTGCTTATCTTTGGGAAAATACATATTTAATATATTTGTGCATTTTATTAAATATGACCTAAAGGGATAATTAATGATTCACAAATCTTCAATATATTTCTTGTGTTCACATCTGTTTTCACTTTTCTTCTGCCTCTGAGAATATTGAGTTGAACTTTGCAAGACTTGTCAGGCCCATGATAGAAAGTGTAAAATTAACTTTGGCAAGTAATTTTTTAATTTCCTTCACAAGTAATGAAACTAAAAAGATATTGAAAATTCACGCCAGAATCATTAATCAAACTAGTTAGGTCATACTCAAGAACACATGCCTATAAGAATGACTGTTTCCAAAATATTCTAATATGTATGTTTTTTCTAAAAAAATTCATCTGGCTTCCTTAATTAGATCAACATAGCACTAGTGTGTACTCGGTGCTGTGCACAACATCCAAGTGCAGAATAAAACTATAGTCCAATGAGTTGATAAGAAACTTTCTGAAATCTTCTACTCATATCTAATTCAAATAATTATAATAACAATAATAATACAGTAATAATAATAATTTCTCCAAAACCTGAGTAAAGACTAAAAATTCAGCCTGTTGTTTACCATAGAAATCAATTAAACACTCATAAGACTGGAGTTTAGTTCTAAACCCAAGAACTAGGCATCCTTATTGCTTATTGTTGATAGCCGACACATGGGACGGTATTTCAGAAATCGGTCCAGCACACACCCACAATAAAGACTTCATTTACATAATTACTTAAGTTAAAACATTCTTTGTGACTGAAGTCTTTGCCGAGACATTATGCAGATAAGGTTTGCAATCCATTGGTACAAATTACAATAAAACTAGGCTGCAATTTTATACACCAAGATCAAGATTTATAAATGAACAAATCATTAATAATGCCTAGTAAATAAATTAGGCTAAAAGTCCTTTCATCAAATTACACACAAAAGAACTCCAGGTCTTCTTTAATGGCACTATTTGCCACAATCAGACTTTAGAGGTCTTGGTGCTGGCTCACTCCCACTTGTGTGTTTACTAACACTGGAAAATGTATAATTATATTTCACTGTAATTTTTGTGTAAAAAAAAGTATATGTATGAAATGGTACGAACACCAAAATATGTTAATTGCCTATAGAAATGTACAATCACAAAGCAACATAGACAAGGTCATTGAATGACTGCCTGTTGAACCACTCCTCTGCATAACTTTTAGCCCTTAATTAAGTCATCATGACCCAAGCTGTGTCAGCAAAGAAGACAATATAATGCAGCAGACAAGCTCATGATAAAGAATAAAAAGACTCCAGTCCATGGTCTGGGAAAGGAAATGCAGAAAGGTACTTGAAGGCAGGTACAAAATGCATGTAAACTTGTATATCCATCCTAATATTTAATAATGGACATAAGAATGAATGGTCCTCAACAGGGTTTTCTAAAAACTGGACTGTTTAATAAGAAAATACAAAAATCAGGTATTGCTCTATGTTCAAGATAAACATATGGACAAGTTTCACTAAGTTAGAGCACACCTATTTAAAATTCTAAATTTAATCAAAATACAAATTGTTATCATTTTACTTTATAGCATGATAACAGTTCTTTTAGACACTTTGTACACCCAAGAATTTGTACCCTTAGAGTCAATAGTTATTTTAGTTTGAATATAAATCAGTTTTAACAATCCAAGAGAGAACACAGAATGCAGAGATAAAATAAATATTAAGTAAAACAGGCCCAAGAAGACAGAAAATCTAACACAAGTTTTCTCAAATCATCATTATTATAGAATATGAAGGTCAGGTACACCAACAAACATGGGGCCAGTGTTCTGGAATGAAGTCGGAAAATTTACAAATATGATTTTGACATAATTATCTTCCACAAGCCATATAAGACAACACCAGAGTGACTGCTCATACAAAATATCAACCTAAACAAGCTCATTCCCTTTTAAAGACTGAAGGCTCAATATTTAAAACAACTGGTAAATTTGAAGAAAATTCTAAAAAAATACCTTAGGCAAAACAAAACAAATTCTACCAAGCTTAAAAATATCTTCAACATTTATATAATATTCATAAAAATTTTAGAAGCTGACAAAGTACAAATACAGTACCATTTGTTTAAAAACTTTGACAGCATTTGTAATAAATACTGAACTGCATTTAAAATTATACAATTCACTTTAAAAGTTAAATTATGGGAAACTAAGGTTTTCCCTCTTGGGACAATTATAAAAAATAAAATAATTGCACATTATATCAATCATTCATTTCATTCTAGATGATGCATGACCTTTCAAACCATTCTAAAAAAAAATTGCTGAAAAGCTAATCTATCTAATAAATTTTTAAGAAGTAATATCTGAAGCAAAAGCCACCACCTAGTCTGAGAGTGAAGAATAACCACAATCTTTAACATGTATTAGAAGGAAATATTATTGAAGAAATTCAGAATTTTGTTCAAAAGCTCCCAAACACCAGTAGTGTTTATAATATCATTCATGCCACACTTTTAATAGGCAATTCATGACATTCAAAACAAATGACAATGTTTGTGAAAAATTTGCCATTTGTTATAGTATTCTATTGCAATATCTGGCTCCCATCCCTCTCTCCATCTATATAAATAACAGAACTAGGTGTGTATGCTGTAGCAGGACCAGTTGCAGAAAGCGGTGTATGATGTGGCGTTAAGCCAACACTTGGGTGGGGCTGGGTTATCTGGGATATAAGGCTTTGGTGCTGCGGCAAAGTGGATGGCAAATACTGAGGAAGAGGTTGCATTTGGGCATCATAAACATCAGGGCGTGAAAAGGCCATTTCTGTCATCATTTCTGCTGGAAGAGTTGGTGGGCCCTGTCCACTTGATGATGGATTCTGTAGGCCTGGATCCCCAAAAACAAATTCTGGGTAAAAACCACTTGGTCCTGCAACAGTCATCTGGAATATGGTATCAATAACAGATTATACACTAGATATGTTTGATAGTAGCAAACAAAAAGAGATATATTTCTGAATACTGGGTGCTGTAATCTGTACAAGGAGTATAATTAACATACAGGAAGGCAGTGCTGATAAATGGGTTAAGAGGTGGCAAAGTGAATGAAGTGGTGGGAGTGGGTGTAATGGAGGTTATTATTATTGTTGTTGTTGTACTGCAGTTATATATTGCATATTACTGCAGTAGTGATTATGGAGGTTGAAGTGGTAATTATGGTTGCAGCATTTTGTTTTAAGTGCTAAATGCAGTTGTAGTGCTGAGTGTGGTTGTAGTCAGTAGTATGATTCAGCAAGTTCACTCAAATATTCCACAAATTTCTAGTTTACCAAACTGGAACTTCATCCTTTCTGTCAGTGCTGCTGCTGTTAGTATGCTGGAGCATATGCCCACCTGTCAATAAGTACAGAGGAGTAAAATCTAGCTCTTTATGCCCTGCCTCTTAACCATTTGTACCTCTCTCAACATTAACATTTCATCCTATTTTTTCCTTGAAGTTGTGGATGGAACAGGCTTCAATAACATCTTCAGGCAATGTGTTCCACTTGCCGACAACTTTGAACAAGACCATCCTTACATCTAACTCAACTGCATGTCCAGCTTCCACTGATGTCCCTCTTGTCTTGTCTTCCTTTATCAACTGTCTATTCCCCTCAGGATCTTGTATATACAGCAGTGACCATATCTCGTCTATTTCTTCTTTCTAAGGTTGTGAGGGCGAGATTTCTCAACGTATCCTCACGACTGAGGCCTCTCAGCTCTGGTACTGATCTAGTTGCAAACCTCTGAACTTTATAAAGTTTCTGCTTATGCTTCATAAGGTGTTTGCATGAGACACCCTAATTTCTATTATTAAAGTTACTGAATGCAAGCAGAAACTTCTTTACTTAAATGGGAATTGCAGTGTCACCACTTTTTATATTCTCTCTTGAGCATTGCTCACTCATGGGTCCACTAAGAGATGTTTATGGAAAGGCCTATGATAACATTAGACATGTTATGATAAAAGCATAATTAGATTTTGTTTGTGAATGATAATAAAAAAATCCAATTTACATCTAAAAATTGCACCAACAAATCAAAATAAACATACCTGGTAACCTTGCTGGGGATAACTTGGTTGTGGATAATGGTGTTGCTGAAGTGCATGTCCCATGGGTAGTGCCTGGATGCCTTGAGAGAGTGCTGAGCCCATACTGACTCCACCAGGAAGGGTCTGATGAACACCTTGGGGTACTCCTTGAGGAACATTCTGACTCATCCCTTGAGGTACAGAGGTGGTCAGGCCAGGAGGCGGCAACTGAACACCAGTGCCTCCTTGTATACGCTGAGCTACTCCCTGAGGCACTCCTTGAGGCACAGTTGCACCTAAACCCTGAGGTATACCTTGATGGAGACCTGGAGCTACTTGCTGAGATATAAAATGTCGAGTATCATAAGGTACCTGCTGCTGGCTTAAACTTGGGTCACCAAATGCATGTGGACTATGACCAGTAAGAGTTGGTGCTATACTTGTAAACTGACTTCCACCTGATCCTGGCTGAACAGCATAAATTCCTGCCACAGGGCCACTTAGGGACTGACCAACAGATAAAAATGTTTGGGATGCAGTATTAGACACTGCAGATTGTCCATCAGGCTGTGTCACTGGAGATCTATATAATGGAGAGCGAATCATAAGTTTGTTAAATTGTACAGCATCTACTGGCTGGCTATGATAATTTACAGCTATTGGAGCTGAAAAACCAGGTGGAGGGGGAGCCCCACTACCTGAACTATTCTGAGTCCCTCCACTGCTCACTGTTGATGCTGTAGAGACTGTCATTCCAGGTCTGCTAGTATTACTCTCACTAACACTTGGCAACAAAACTGCACTCATCTGACCCCCAGCAGCCTGACTTGCCATATGAAACAAAGCAGCTGGACTGATGCTATATGGATATTGTTGTTGATGTGGCTGAGTTTGAGTTGTTGAGACTGCAGTTGTTGTCTGGTAAGTCTTAGGTTTTTGTGGCTCTTGCTTCTGTGATTTGGTTGCTAACTGAATTGGCTGAGATAGGACACTGGCTGGCCAGTACTCCCAGTGTCTATGCTGCTGTAATGATTGTTGCTGCTGTTGCTCTTGCTGTAATAATCTTTGCTGTTTCTCTTGATCTATTATTTTTTGTTGCTGCTGTGGTTTTTGTTTTAGCTGTTCCTGTTGTTTTTGTTGCTCCTGTTGGTGTTGTGCTTGCTGCTGTTCCTGTTGTTGACTTTGTGGTGGTTTCTGCTGCATAATTGCCATTTGATATATATTATTAACATTGGTATTGTAACTGGGTCCCTGCTGTTTTGAAGTTTGACTTACAAGTGTATGTCCCTGGCTATTAAGTTTCATTTCTGGGTTGATATGGTCAGGAATTGCTTGGCCTTGACTGGCGAGTCCCACTGAAACATTTGCCAAATGTTGAAAACCTGGAGGCACACTAACAGCTCCACTAGATACACTCTCAGTTGACTTCTCTGTACCACCCCAGTCAAGTAAATTAGCTGATCCTAGCAACACATTAGCAGGTAACCCAGAATTGCTTAGTGCTGAGCTACTAATGCAAGATACCCCAGTTCTAGCACCAACTCGTAGTCCAGTCACAACAGATAAAGGATCACCTAAGCTACACAACAATGATTCACCTTCAGATGTATATATTCCAGGTTTCACAGTATCAGTTCCAGGATGCACACTGCTAACTCCACTCTGAGTGGTATTTACCCCAGACTTTACTGTAATGTTCAACCCAACATTTGGAGTGCCACTGGCAGGTAGAGGACCTGTGACTTCATTGAGAGATTTCGCCTGGCTGCGGTTTGTGGTTCTGCTGGTGGCTGCTTGTAATTGCTCCAGTTTTGTTGTGGATGTCTGACACGTTGAATTTCCAGTGACAACATCTGGAATAGGTATTATCTCTTTAGTTCTCCAATAGCGTCAATATATAATCTTAAAATTTAAGCATCGATGATCAGTTCATTTGAATTTTGTATTAATATCATCTTTACAGTGAAATATAAATAATGAAGAGATAATATCCCAATCCAGAGTCACCAACTGCTAATCAGTTCAGGTTTGTTGGAAGGACTAGATTCAATACAAAGGCTGAGAGACACTTCATTTTATTGAAAGAATTTGATCACATTTTAGGCAATATCAAAAGCCATAATTTTTCAATCAATACTGGTGGTCAATGACAGTGGATTGTAGATCAGTAAAAAAATCACTCATACAAATACCTTGCTTAAAAAAAAAAAAACACATTTAAGCAAAATTCAACACAAAACAATAGCTATATACGAATCACAGAACAAGAAATGCTGCAAGTTCTGGTCAAAACAGCTGTTTGAAAATTTTAAATTTCATAAAACATGTGCACTTCATTAACAGATTTACCTACCACGCTGCACACAAGACCATGGGATAAATTCTCGCCCTACAGGATACAACAGAATGCCAGCCCACTTATATGTGTGATAAATGGCACAAAAATGTACAATAAGAAATATCAAAAGCAATTATATAAAACTTTTTATTAATGATTTTTACAAAATATTCCACAATAGAATGAGTATTGTCAAGCGCTCTTCCCGAAACAAGTAAATTGCGCTAAATATCTGGATATAATCACAACTTTTTGAAAGGCTTGCCTATTGTATCAGAATTATTACTTTATAAAAACCAAGGAATCTTAAAAAATATCACAAGACAATACAATTCTTGAGTTTAGTAATCTTAACTTAAAAGAAAAGTAACAATTTCCTTACCATTCAAAATAAGCACAGCACAAGTAAGGGTAAATGCTAATATGACCTAGCGACCCAAACAATTATATAATATTTTGCGTAATATCGGCTATACATTTCACAACAATTTATTTTCAAAGCAGTCGTCAATGAAATATTCCATGCAAAATCAACACAAACTCTCATAATTTACACTGCACTTCCAGGTGTGAGACAGAGTGAGTTACCTCCATGGCAATGAGACAGTGCCATTTTTATGTCTGTTATATAAGGTTCTATAATTTCCATTCATAAGCTGGATGTAAAAAACAAATTTATGCTAGTTATGAGGTCAGATAATAACCATTTACCCTATCTATTTGAACTACTCTATATGAGGTCCAGTCACTGAACATCCATCATCAAACTTAAGGCACTACAAACACAGTAGGTCATTATCTAACACAGAAGCTCTCATGTCAATGCTGTAATTAAAGTCATCTGCACCAGGAAGAGACAGCAGAGGAAGATAGAAAACAATTGGAGAAGGGCAGGAACAGGGCAGGAACAGAACTTGGCAAGGACAGAACATCACTAAACATTTAAAATTACGACCTATGTCACATAATAATTTTGGTTGAAGAAATAATTATTACATCCAGATTTAGTTTAGTGTTGGCTATATGCAGGGTTTACTTCATAAATATTTATATAGAATATTATTTTATCATACAATCACAAGCAAAATATATTATTTTATATATACGGTATATATAATATATATACAGTATATAATATATATAACACAATGCAGTCTTAAGTATTTAGTGACACAATGCTGTTTTGACTCTGGACTACAGCACACTGTATTAGAAATAAAACAATGCCTATGAGCTTAAATAGAAAACTTTCAGCTTTAATTTGAGAGTACAGTATTTACATTCATAACGAGCAAGCTGTGTAGGAACAAGATTTTTTTTAAAGTTCCCGTTTGAAGAAAAACCAAGGTAGTTCTGACACCTGGTCGCTCTGCTCTTTCTTGACCAAAACTGTGGGGCTGCATTGCTAGCTTATGCACGTAAGAGGCAGTACAAGTATTATAGCTGATTGTATGGGTAACATTTGCAAATAGAGTCTGTTGTTCTCTCTCAACATGAGGACCAAAGAAGTGTCAGTGCCAGTAGTAAAAGTGGATCACAAAGTTGACAAATTACAGAATACTGTAAATTGGAGATTTTGCCCAAGCATCAAATTCAACTGCTCGGTAAACTGTTACGAAGCAAGAATGCACTGGTGAGCTCAGCAATAGCAAAGAAACATAGTAGACCCCAAAAGATCACTGTAGTAGATGACTGAAAAATACAGTACTTTATTGTGACAGCAATGCCCATTATAACTGTCGAGCCAATCAAGAACACTCGAGATACAGGCATGCATGTCTTAAAGACTAACATAAAGAGAAGACTACACCAGCATAACCTCAACTAGTTCACTACATGATGCAAACCATTGGTAACCCTCAAGAACACAAGAGCTAGGTAAGTCTGCTACTTACTAGAGAAAGCTGCTCATGATCCAAAGCATACCACCTGGTCTGGGAAACCCTGAGGAGGTATTATGGCACGGATATGTATGGCTGCCACAGGAACTTGTTCACCTCTCTTTATTGATGCCGAGATTGCTGACGTCGGCAGCAAGATAACTTCTGAAGTGTACAGAAACATTGTATCTGCCAGATCCAATCAAATGCCTCAAAACTCATTGGATGGCACTACACCTAACAGTAAAATGACCTTAAACATACTGCTTAAGCAACCAAGGAGTTTTTTAGTGCTGAAAGTGGAATGATCTTGACTGGTCAAGTTAATCACCCAGTCTGAATCCTATTGAGCAAACATTTCACTTGCTGAAGGCAAAAAATTCCCAAAACAAAGAAACTGAGGATGACAGCAGTCAGACCTGGCAGAACATCACTATGGAGTGATGTACTAGGTTACATCACTAGGTTACCAGTGCTTGGTAATGTCAATGGGTCACACACTTCAGGCAGTCAATGCATGCAAAAGATTTACAACAATGTTAAATACTAAATATGACAACTATATATATGTATACTGCATGTTAATGTGCTCAGTTACTTTTGATCCCCATAAAATAAGGAAAAAAGTATATGAAACTATATATAAAAAGGGCTGTATTTGAAGGCATTTACACTATGGATGTAAATAACCTTAAATTAAAGCTGAAAGCCTTCATTTTCACTTCCCTATCATTGTTTAGTTGCAAATCCAGTAAGCTGGGGATACAGAGCCAAGACAACACACTATCACTCTTCAAATACTTATGTACCACACCGATTTGTATTTATATATTATATATAATATATATCTATATCATTTGCCTTCTACACACTTTCAATTCTTGCATAGGTAAAATTTAAAACTTCAATAGTCTGTCCCACTGAGCATGAATTCCTTAAGAACTCGTGTATATGAAAGTAATATGCAAGAATGATGTGGAAAACTGTGTAAGCTATATTATTTTTGTTTAGCTTGCTAATGTCCTTTAAAAATGACAATATCCTATTCACTAATCTGGGAAAGAAGCCTTCTTGCTTGCAATTGTATATTACCTTTAATTTCAATAAAAATATCATATTTGGCAATATTTCCAAGAACGTCTGATTACTTCTTAATAAATTTATATATAGACCAAAAATAGACATACTTTAGGAAAACTAAAAAAGCAAATCATACAACTTCCACATAAGCCACAAATCACATAAAATTTTGAGTTAAATGTTCTACAGCAATTCCAAGACCCTAATCTACATTTGCATTTTTCTTACTCAAGTTTTCACCCTCATTCTGAGACTCTGTCTTTGAGCCACCCTTTTTACCCTTTCTAGGCCTGGGTTTCCGCTTTTTTTTATTAACATTAGCACCATTTGTAGCACCATCCATTACTGTAGGTAAACAAGTGCCTGATATATTTCCTATAAAAGTTGAAGCATTTGATTCTTGTAATGTACCTTGAGACTCTTGCCCACTTGAGTTAGTTTTTCTACCTAATTCCGACTGCCGGCTAGTATGTGGCAGGTTAATAACATTCTGCTGAGATTTATCCATCGATGCTGTTATTGTGACAATTTCCTTCTCAGGCCCAACAGGCACAAGTCTGCATGTAAGCCCCAGGGAAGGCTGATGCTTGGCTTTGATTGCACCTTCTTTACTACTATATTTTTTACTCATTTTAATCCTACCTACACTGCCCTGAGTGCTTTTATCTTTATTAGCATTCTGAATTCTTTGCCCTAAATTTACTGCACTATCTGGATAGTTCTTTTGTTTACCCTTCCTACGAACCACTCGCTGAGCAAACCCTTCATCTTCACTTGAACTAAAAGCAGCATGCAGATTATTTAAATTAGTTTGCATATAAGATTTATTATTTTTTAAGCCTTTGATCAGGCAATCTGCTAAGCTTTGTCCATTATGGCCTTTAATTTCTAGATTTCCAATTATATTTGGGGTTTGGGAATTTAATGATCCACCTCCTTTACCTCCAAAATTATTTGAACCTTTCTTCCCAGGCTCAAATTTCTGACCCCTTTTGTACCCCGGCCCTGCCATTTCCCTTCTGTACCGAACCTTCATTCTCTCTTTCTTTTTTTGCCTGCGCTTATCTTGTGCTTCTTTCATTTTCTCAAAGAGTGTTTGACCAATATCACCAGGAATTTCTAAAGTGCTTACAGACACTACAGGACTATCACTCTCATCTGGTTCTTGTGCTTCATACATTTCTATTTCAACCATTTTTAATATTAGATTATAAACAGAGGAAAGAGGATGTGGTGAAATATCAATGCCATCTCTGATTTTTTTGGCTGCTTTTTTCCAATTAACTGTCCAGACATACTGTTCATTTAACTGAGGGGGTACACAATGACATACTAATGTTTCCTTGCCTACTTTTTTATCATCAAATGATTCAAATGAGTACCGCCTCATCCCCAAAATTTTATCTCCTTTTATTCTATATTCTTGGTCACTCTTCCATTTTTCACAGTGATCTTCCATCATATTTAGAGGTATAGAAAGTTTTAAATTACCTTCAGGTGTCTTGAGACCATGAAGTGCTCCAATCCCAGTGCACAGTGTTGGTTCTCCTGGTCCTTCCGTTCCATCTCTGCTCTCATTCTCTTGCCCATCCTGAGACGTGCTTTGTTCTAATATGTGCTTCTGTCGTTCCCCATCTCTGTCTTCCGTCTCGGCACTAATTCTTCGTGTTTCTCGACGGTCCTTTTGCCGTTCTTTTTTCTCTCTCTTTTCCATGTTCAGCCTTTTTTTGGGACAATCTTTTTGGATGTGGCCAATTTTCCCACAAAAGCGGCAGCCTCGATCATTAGGAGGAGCACCATCAGTGAGTTGCTTGGAGTCAAATAGGTAATCCTAATAAAGAAACAAACACTTGTAATCACTTGAAATAAATAAATAAATAAATTTTATATATATATATATATATATATATATATATATATATATATATATATATAATTTTTTTTATTGGAGTTAAAATTAATGTCGATATATGACTGAACCTAACCAACCCTACCTAACCTAACCTAACCTATCTTTATAGGTTAGGTACCTATAACCTATAAAGATAGGTTAGGTTAGGTTAGGTTAGGTAGGGTTGGTTAGGTTCAGTCATATATCGACGTTAATTTTAACTCCAATATATATATATATATATATATATATATATATATATATACATATATATATATATATATATATATATATATATATATATATATATATATATATATATATATATATATATATATATATATATATATATATATATATATATATATATATATATATATATATATATATATATATATGGCTGAGAAGTGCGTTCTGGCTACTAGGTACGACATATATATATATATATATATATATATATATATATATATATATATATATATATATATATATATATGTATATATATATATATGTCGTTCCTAGTAGCCAGAACGCACTTCTCAGCCTACTATGCAAGGCCCGATTTGCCTAAAAAGCCAAGTTTTCATGAATTAATTGTTTTTCGACTACCTAACCTAACTTTTTCGGCTACCTAACCTATAAAGATAGGTTAGGTTAGGTTAGGTAGGGTTGGTTAGGTTCACTCATATATCGACGTTAATTTTAACTCCAATAAAAAAAAATTGACCTCATACATAATGAAATTGGTAGCTTTATCATTTCATAAGAAAAAATTAGAGAAAATATATTAATTCAGGAATACTTGGCTTATTAGGCAAATCAGGCCTTGCATAGTAGGCCAAAAAGTGCGTTCTGGCTACTAGGTACGACATATATATATACATATATATATATATATATATATATATATATATATATATATATATATATATATATATATATATATATATATATATATATATATATATATATATATATATATATGTATATATGTCGTACCTAGTAGCCAGAACGTACTTCTCAGCCATATATATATATATATATATATATATATATATATATATATATATATATATATATATATATATATATATATATATATATATATATATATATAATTATTAAATATGACTGAAAAAGTAAGATTAATAATTCGAACACGAATTTTCTCGATCTTTCGTACGTTTCTATATATATTTATATATATATATAAGCTGAAGGAGGCATTTGAGCAGAGTTCCGTGCTGCGTTTCACTTACGAGATGGAAAAGGATGGGAAGCTGCCCTTTCTAGATGTAACATTCATGGAAAAGAGCGGAGGTTTCCACACTGCAGTCTACACTAAGGAAACGAGCATAGGAATGTGCCTAAATGCCAACAGCGACTGCCCAGACAGGTACAAGAGGAGCGTTATTAACGCTTATGTCGACCGTGCCCTCAGCCACAGCTCAGAATGGAAGCAAGTCGACGAAGAACTCTGTAGGGTAAGGCAGGTCCTAGTCAACAACGGCTTCTCCAATGGTTTCGTGGAAGACATCATAAGAAGGAAAGTGAAACGCCATGCAACCTCTGAAGAGACAACTAACACAACACCTATACCCCCTATTAGACTATTTTACAGGAACTTCTTTTCCACAGCCCATAAAACGGAGGAAAGGGTCCTGAAAGATATTGTCAGTAGAAACGTTATCCCTACAGACAAAAATCAGAAGATACAACTGACGATTTACTATAAAACCAGAAAAACGGCCAGCCTACTCATGAGAAACTCTCCAGACACAAAGCAGAACGCTTTAAAAGAGACCAACGTCGTCTATGCCTTCAAATGCCCTCTTGGGGACTGTAAGCCTCAAAAAAACCAGTATATAGGCAAGACAACAACATCTCTTTCCAGGCGTTTAACGATGCATAAGAAACATGGCTCCATTAAGGAACATATAGCCTCTTCCCACAAACAAACCATCACCAGAGAAATCTTAGCAAACAACACAGAAATCATCGATAGATACAGCGATAGCAGGCGGCTAGACGTCTGCGAGGCACTACACATCAAGAAGTCAACACCAGCAATCAACAGCCAATTAATGCACAACTATATTCTACCCACTTCAAGACTCCGCTCCAATATAGAAGCATCAAGAAATATGGACCAATAGGCTTTCTACAATTACTTCCATTCAATACCCATTGTTTCGTGTTCTGTCTTGTGTTTGAATTTAATACCCATTCAATACCCATTGTTTCGTGTTGGAATTTAATACCTATTGAATACCCATTGTTGAAAGTTCGTTTTTCACCTCATCCACCTCACCCAAATGTAGATATAAACCTCGAAGATGTGTAAGCTCTATTCAGTTTCAGTTGTGGTTGTAAACTAAAGTCTTTAAAAATGTAATAAGTTTTACGAAACTCGCTCAAGTGTCGCGTCAGACTAGAAATAAAAATGAATTTTGGAGAATTGATCTTTGAATTACTATCAACAGTGAAAAGAAACATATGATAGAGAAAATTCGTGTTAGAATTATTAATCTTACTTTTTCGGTCATATTTAATAATATATATATATATATATATATATATATATATATATATGCGCAGTTTTCAGTTGCATATTGTCCTGGGGACCATTCAGGCTTGTTTGCATATATATATATATATATATATATATATATATATATATATATATATATATATATATATATATATATATATATATTTATATTTATATTTATATAATATATATATATATTTATATATATATAATATATATATATATATATATATATATATATATAATATATATATATATATATATATATATATATATATATATATATATATATATATATATATATATATATATATTTATATATATATATATATATATATATATATATATATATATATATATATATATATATATTATATATATTTATATTTATATATATATATATTTATATTTATATATATATATTTATATTTATATATATATATATTTATATTTATATATATATATATGGGGAACATGAAGTTGTTTCTGCAGAAGGTGTCCAGTAGGGAGACCCACTTGCCCCTTTTCTTTTTTGCATGGCTGTTAAAGAGGTCACAAGCAGGTTGACCAGCGAACTCGACATCTGGTTCCTGGACGATGGCACCCTGGCAGGGACACAGGAGTCCCTGCTAGAAGATCTACAGCTGGTGAAATCTAAGGGAGAGGAGTTAGGACTCACCCTAAACCCATTAAAGTGTGAAATCATCTCATCTAGCCCACCAACCATAGATGCAGTGCGAACCATATTGCCAGGAGCCCAAGTGATCGCTCCCACCGACAGTGTGCTGCTAGAGGCACCTCTGGGCTCGAGCGCCATTGAGGTAGTCCTCGAAGAAAAGCTGAACGACCTGAGGAGGATGGAGGGAAGAATAGGGGCTTTGGACGCCCACGATGCTTTGTACCTTCTCACAAAGTGCCTGGCTTTGCCCAGACTGACCTATTTCCTAAGGTGTGCTCCCTCCTTCGACAGCCCAAAATTAACAGAATATGACACACTCCTAAGGTCAATAACCGTAAAAGTGTTAAACCTCTCCCTGCAAGATGACCAATGGGACCAAGCAACGCTCCCAGTTAGACTCGGGGGAATAGGTATTCGCAAGGCGACACAGTTAGCATTGCCAGCATTCTTATCCTCGACCAGTGCAACAGGTGAATTAGTTAAGGAAATACTACCGGAACACCTAAGAGACTCCATTGGGATTCATGATCCCAAATTCGCGGAAGGAGCCGGTCAGTGGGACACTCTCGTCAACTCTCATCCCCGACCGACTTTTCCAAATGACTGCAAACAGTCCAAATGGAATAGCCCCATAGTGGAGAACATCGCCACATCATTGCTGGAGGCAGCTTCCAGGAAGGACAAAGCGCGTCTTCTAGCTGTGCAAGCGCCCCATGCCGGGGACTTCCTGTTGGCAGTCCCTAATTCTGCCTTGGGCACCCGCCTGGACCATCGTACCCTAAGTATTGGTGTTACCCTGCGCCTTGCCGCCCCTATCTCCACCGATCACCGGTGTATTTGCGGCCATGCAAATACGACGGAGCCGGTCGGCCGAGCGGACAGCACGCGGGACTTGTGATCCTGTGGTCCTGGGTTCGATCCCAGGCGCCGGCGAGAAACATTGGGCAGAGTTTCTTTCACCCTATGCCCCTGTTACCTAGCAGTAAATAGGTACCTGGGTGTTAGTCAGCTGTCACGGGCTGCTTCCTGGGGGTGGAGGCCTGGTCGAAGACCGGGCCGCGGGGACACTAAAGCCCCGAAATCATCTCAAGATAATCTCAAGATAATGCACGGGCAGACCAATATGGCAGCCATGGTCTCATCTGTCGTAAGACACAGGGAAAGATTGCCAGACATGAAGCAGTCAATGACATCATCAAGAGAAGTTTGGCTACTGCTGGGTGCCCAGCACAAAGGGAACCTCAGTTGTGCAGACCTGACAACAGCCAAAAACGCCCAGATGGAGTCACCCTGCAGCCATGGAGGGAAGGTAAACAGGTCGTGTGGGACTACACGTGTGCATCCACATTGGCTGATACCTATCTACCTTACAGCGCAGCTGAGGGAGGCGGGGCGGCCACCTTCAGGGAGACCCAGAAAACTAACAAGTACAGGGACCTAGAACGTTGTTACAGGTTGTGGGGTAAATGTGCACTTAAGTTCCTGAAGGAGCTGGGCGAGGAACTGATTAGGAAGACTAGAGACCCAAGAGCAGCCAGTTTTATGTTCCAGCGCCTCAGTGTCGCTGTTCAGAGGGGTAATGCGTGCTGTATCTTGGGTACGCACCCGACCCCCGAGGAGCTGGACGAGGTCTTCGAACACTGATTGGTATATTGTTATATAAGTGTGTGTTTTCTGTAAACTGTAGCATTGCAATAAAATCAAATAAA